CGACCTGTTTCAGAAAAATCTTTGAATTTCATTTTCTCAGGTGAGTTTTTACCAGAAAACAAGAAACTAACAAAAAACAGCAAATTCCAAAATGGGACTTTTGTGGCTGTGCTCGCCGTAGGAATCAGAGGTGGTGGTGGAGCTGGTCTCTGGGGATGTGGCCACCAGTTTGGTTTCCACCAGTTTCCAGTCTCGTGCCAAGAAAGGCGAACATGATCCTGAATCTTTCAGCCTTTTCCACAAAACACATCAAAAGTCAAATTTTTGCCTTATTTTCCGAAACAGCCTTTTTCTTAGCTGGAGCAAACATGACATCGACCAATGAAAAACGTCAACGAGCAGCAATCAGAAATCTGAGAGACTGAAAATTAAGATGAGGAAGAAAAGAAGTAAACAGGAGAAGATGAAAGAGAAACAGAGAAAGAGGAGAAGAAGACGTGACGGGGGAGTGACAGAGCGACAGAGGAAGTGACCTTTGACTCGTGACTCCCGGCTGGATTCAAACCGTCAACACCTGCTTTGTTCTGAGCACAGCCCGAGGTCACGATCTCACCCACACAACCTCGCTCTGACCTTTGACCTCTCGCCCAGAGACACAATCCGTCTGTCGTATTGTGTTGCCCCGGGGTGTGCTTCGGCGATGAGCATTACTCACGTTGTGGGGACTCGACAGAAAAAGTGTCATTAAGATAAATCGTTAACTTTCACTGTGAAGTTTGTGGATTGAGCAAGTCTCGGGAAACGAATGTGTGTGTGTGTGTGTGTGTGTGTGCGCGCTGACAGACGCACTCCTTCCGAGTTTCATTAACCGACAGGATCATGTGACGAGAACAAACTCGAATGTCCAGCTGAGCTCTGAATCACATATCCAATTAGATTCGGCTTTAACGCCCAGCAGCAGCTGTTTCCACCTGATTTCAGATGCAAGTCACAACTTCCATTAGAAAAGATACTAATTTAACCGTCGCTGAGTCGATCTTCAGTGCAAAATGTATACGATTCAAAACTCTGAATCAGGAAACCGTGATATAACAAGTCTGTTTGTTTCTTTAATGAACCAAGCTCTTGGTTTGTTTCATCCTTGAACGTCTTTTGGAAAACTGCTGATTTAAAACTTCAGCTGTAAATCTCTGTATCAAGTGTAATTTCTTTATTAAAATCCATCAGTCCAAGTCAGAACTGTCGTCGAGTGCTTTTATTCCTGTGGAACGCGCACACTGTTTAGTAACATAATCACTATCAGGACTCCCACTGGAAATTTGCTCGTGTCATTTTTTTTCCAGGACGAGCCGTTTTCTCTTTTTTTAAACTTTCTCAAAGTCAGAACTTCTAACAGGCAGATGCAGATTTCACCATCATCAAAGCTTTCTGCTGCGCAAAGCTTATCCACTTCAAAACTTCTATTAAACATTGCTTATGTAACGCTCATCAACTCTTTTTTTTAATGATCCAAACTGTTGTTTTTGTGGGAATTTAGGTCAGAAAACTGCAGATTTCAAACTCCAGCTGTGAATCTTTGCAATGAAAACTTTCGTATTAACCTCCTAAGACCTGAACTCTTTCATGTGACGCATTTTCATTTTCTCTTTGCTATTTGGGCTGATTGGGACCTGATGAATGTAAAAACAAAGAACTACCTGATTTTTTTTTTTTACCTGATTTTTGTTTCTGAGAAAAATGAGAGCCACATATGAGGATGTGTGTAAATTTCGGAGTATAACGTCCTCGTAAGTGGATATCAGGCCCTTGTAGAGCAAAATGTAGTATATTGGTCTAGACAACCCAAAATGTGATGTCCACATATGTGGACGCCAGGTCCTAGGAGGTTAAAGCTCAATCCAACTCACGTTTGTCTTCAAGCCCTTTTGACTCGATGAGTGTCTAAACTTTCCACTTTAGTCAGAACGTAAACTGCCATCAAGGCTTTCTTCAGCACAAAGCTTCTCCACTTCAAAACTCGCTGATTTGAAGCGATCGAACAAAAAGATGTCTGATTTTTTCCCCCCAGAATGTAAATCAGAACTTCCATTAGAAATGTAGTAATTAATCCATCAGGTTTTCCAGTGCTATCAAATGGAGAACTCTCGAGGGAAACTGGCAGAACTAACAGACACTAAAGTGTTCGACTGTCTTTGTGTTTCACTCTTTCATAAAAAACAACATCAGGCAGAAACGGGGAAATTGACTTTTAGGGATTTCTTTCTGTTTCTCTAAAGGACCGTTTGTCCATGTTTAATTTAAGGAAATGCAAACAGGACTGTCCTCTAAACAACTCACAGTCAGAATTTCAACGAGAAATCATTTTCTTCCGTCTTTCTTCTCTGCTTTTCTTTTCCTCCAAAGGATCTAATTCACAACTCCCACTGGAAACTTTCTTATTTAACAGACGCTGATCACCATTTAATCACTGCAGTGTGATTGGGTTCTGTTTGTCTTTGTGGCTGAAACGCAGTTCGAGCCATCCTGATTTTTGGAAACTACGACACTGAAACTCCAGCCTGTACGGAAAAGAAGGAAAAACATCCAAGTCAGAACTGCCACAGAAAACCTGCTGATTTCACATCCTTCTGCAAGCCTGTCTGCAGCCAGTGAATTATTAACCAACACAATCCGAGTCAGGACGTCCATTTCTCACTCTGCATTTTGTTTCTTCCATTGGAAAATATGCTGATTAAACTCTCGTGTGCTCTTCCTCCTGGTGTCTCTGATGCCACTCGCTGCCGTTTCAGTTTGTTAAACGCACACAAAATTTTTCATTTTCACTGTTTATTCTGCTTAGTTGGTCAGCGAATGGTGGAAACCAGATACCAAACACACACACACACACACACACACACGGCCTGCAGCCAGCTGCCTGAAATTCCGTTGTAATGCAATACCTCCGTATGTGTGTGTGTGTGTGTGTGTGTGTGTGTGTGTGTGTGTGTGTGTGTGTGTGTGTGTGTGTGTGTGTGTGTGAAATAAGTATTAAACGTGTGGT